GACCTAGTCGGCGCGGGGACGCCCCTTGTGGTGTTGCTGCGTGCGCGGCTGCGCCCCACGCCATGCCACGCCACGCCCGACACGCCGCGTCCTGTCCTCATCCCCCCACCCCCTCCCTGCCCAAAAAGGCGTGCCAACGCCCACTCAGATGCGGCTCTCACGGAGATCTTTGCATACCACGCGGTGAGCTCCTTTCGCACACGTGCCGCATGCATGCTCGCGCGTGCGGGCGCGCTTGAAGGGAGTACAGGCGCCCCAACTTACAAGTTGGCAACCACCAAGGCGGATCCCTGGCGCATCCCACCTCGTCCTCACAATGTTCCGCCCAGCATACCCAAGTGGGGTGGGGAACCTGCCTTGCGGGGCCACCCAGCATGCCGCATTGCCGCCAGCCAGCCCCCTTGTGCGGGCCGCCGGCTGCGTGCGCGCCCTGATCCTGCTTGGCCCTCCTGCACCCTGGCACACACACACTCACGCACAAACACACACACACACACACACACCTTCGCTCCATGCAGGACGTATTCACACTCACTCCCATTCATCTCAACCACCCACCTCCCCACCCTCAGGCCACCATGGCCAACACAGTCCACGCCCCCCTGCTGGTCTTCAGCCGCCAGGTGACACACCACCCCGCCCATGCACTCGGGGACCGGGGCCCTCAACCCTCGATCCTAAACGTTGACACCTCAACTGCCGGGTCCTCCCTCGCATGCGCCTTTCCGGTAGCAGTAAATGGGGGCCCGCAGCTTTGATCGCGTGCCACGGCGCCCGCAGGAAGCGCCATGCGTGCACTCGCGCGAGCCCGGAATCGTGTGCCCACTTGCCTTGCTGTACCGCTGCCGCACAGTCTCACGCTGCTTCCCTCCGACGAACTTGCCACCGCCCACCCGTCCCCGCGGTCCCCGGGCAAAACACTATCCCAGGGCGGCATGCCTGCGCTGCTGTCGCACTTCAGGCCTGACTACCCCATCTTCGCCATGTGCGACAACCCAGAGGTGAGCTTTCGGCAGGCGAGAGCCACCCTGCACGGTTTACACCCCCCCTGCAGACACTGTATACCCCAAACACATACGCGCACACAGCCAAACACACACGCGCACACAGCCACCTCTGCAGACCCACACGCCGCAAACCACCATACACCAGCCCACACGAATCGCACCACATACAACCCTACGCCTCACCCCGCCCCGTTTCAAACCCATCCCCACCCCCCTTTGACCAGGTCATGCGCCACCTGGCGCTGTACCATGGGGTGGTGCCCATCTTCATGGAGTTCCTTGAGAGCGCGGAGGACACCTTTGACCTCGCCCTCAAGGAGCTGGTGCGCCGCGGCTACCTGTCGCGCAACAGGCTGGTCGCCATAGTGCAGAGCGGCAGGACGCCGATCTGGCGGCGGCGCCACACGCACGGGATACAGGTGCGGGGGGCGGGCGCCGGGCGCCGCGGTGGCGTTGTGTGGGTTTATCAGGGTAGTTGTTTGTGTCTGTGTGGGGGCGGGGACAGATTCGCGCGGCATGGGGCGCGCTGTGAATGCTGACCATGGCGGCCGGAGCTCAGGGTGCGCGCTATGGGTTTTTCCAGAGGGATGCGGAAGAGGGATGCGGGGGCGCTGAGGTGACGGCGGCGGCTGGGCTGCTTCTCTGGGCTTGCTGCCCCTACCTCGCCGGCACTCCTTGACGTGCCGCACCCCCGCTAAGCATTTACGTAGCGCAAACGCCTGTGTTGCGTTATCCTCTCCCCCCCCCCCAAGGTGCGGCGCGTGGAGAAGCGCCATCTGCTGGACGACACCCACGACAGCGTCGACGAGCTGTGACGTCATGTAATGACGTCATACAGGGCCAACGGGCATGTCGCGAACAGCGCTGTTGTATACACCATGCAGGACCCGGTTTTGGGTCACCTGGTTTTGCCATAACGAGCCCCTGTTTGTCCAATAAGCCCGGGATACCTCCAGGCCTGTATAGTCGATGCTGTTACTGCCCTGCGCTTCTCAAGTTGAGCGGGCCTTTCGAGTGTGCGTATTGAGGGCGCCCAGGCTCACGTACAGTACTTTTCGCACCAGAAAAGGGCCGCAGCCACTGTCCCACCACGTGGCGTGTGCATTCTCTTGTACTTGAATTACCCTACAAAGCTGTAACATTACCTCACCCGTGTTGTATCCTCTACCCATGCCCGGCACTCTGCAGTGAGGTGGTCTGAAAAGTGCTGACGATGCAGGAGCTGGTCAACCAGTCAACTTGAGGGCACATGTCGGTGACAGCCACCCCAAAATTCAACACATCATTTGACCAGGCCGATTCGGTATCATGCTTCACCGGTGCCGTGCGTGGCAAATTGCGAGAGTGCCACGCACAGGGTGGGCTCTGGGTGGCTCGAGAGCACCTCGAGATGGAGGTGTTGGCCGCCATCGGATGGGCGCCAAAGAATTGTGCGGGTGCTGTGCTCTGCCGTTGTGCATGTGACGCAAGCGACTTCTGAGTATATATTCACTACAGCCCCAGTGTGCATTCCGCAGCCGTCCTTCGCAGGTCGTCGTCGCTGCAATGCAATTGGCGAGCGGCCAACGCTTGTGTCGGCGTCAGCAACTTGATGGTTACGCAAGCTCTGCTTCACATATAATATGTCGCGACACACGTTGCCGGGGCGAGCGGCGTTCTGCAAATAGGGCGTCGTGGGCGCTGCTGGAGCGCGATAGCGACAGTCTGAATGGCTCAATTGACCATAAAACGCTGGATGAGCCGGCTTCTGCCCCTGCTCAGGCGCCAATTATCAGCGCTGAGGACCTGGTGAGCACATCGGCACCGGCCGCCGCATGTGACGCCTCAAGGCGCATCGATGCAGGCGCATCACATCGATGCGCGGGCGCCTGCCCCTCCATGCAGCAACGCCTCCTCGCCACGCCCTTCGCCAACCTCCAACTGCACGCCGCCCCGCGCCGGCCCCCCCCCCCCAGGTCTGGCGCTGCGCCGCGGAGCTCGCGCCCGACTTTGCGACCATTGACCGCCGCGTCGCCCGCAACCTGCGGCGCTCCCAGGAGGCCTTCCGCCGCCAGCGCGTCGGCCCCCACCACTTCCAGGGCTCCACCGGCTACGGCCACGGCGACATGGGGCGGGAGGCGCTCGACGCCGTGTTTGCCGAGATCATGGGGGCGGAGGCGGCGCTGGTGCGGATCCAGTTTATGAGCGGGACGCACGCGATCGCCGCGGCGCTGTACGCGGCGCTGCGGCCGGGAGATGAGATGCTAGCCGTCGCCGGCAAGTGAGAGGGCGGGGCCGGGACGGGGGCAGCGATGGGGTGGGGGTTGTCGCGGCGGGGGCAGCGGCGAGGCTTTGAGTATAGGGGGAGGAGCGTGAGGAGGGCGGCAAAGCAGCAAGCAGCAGCCCCAGCAGCAGCAAAACCGAGGAGCCGGCATCATGCAGGCGCTGCTCGGCTGTACACCAGACGCCGGGGCCTGCATGATTTGCGCGGGCGTCGCCCTCACGAACGGGCACCTAGCTGCGAGCGGCGGTGCCTACGCACGTGCTCGGCCCCCACCCTTCATACCCACAAGGTGCCAGTTTTGCTCACCGCACGTTGATTGCTTTGGCCGTCCAACGTCTGCCCGAACCCTCCGAACCTGAATCCCCAACCACTGATTGCATCTTCACCCCTCTCTGCTGCACCACCC